GGATGGGTATATGGGTTGCGTGATATTGGTTGGTGTTCGGCTTAATTGCTGGCTTGTATGCTGCTTGTTTCTTGCTTGCTATCCGGAGGGCAGACAAAGTATGGTTCGCCGGGTCGGTGGTGGAAGATGCAACGCGATCGGGGATGGGTGCGATAGGTAATCGACAACTGCCTGCTGGGCACCTTGTGGGTTTCACGAGGCTTTGGAGACTGCGGGCTGCGGACTGCGGACGGCGACGATTGGGTGATGGCTGAGCCGAGTGCTGGCGGAGTAGTGATGCTACAGCAGCAAATGGAAGATGGAAGTGGAAGATGGAGTTGAAGATGGAGATGGAGATGGAATGAATCGATAGAATGAATGGAAGTGGATTCAAATGCTGCGAGATGGCATGCAAGGAGTTGGACCGGCGCGCGATTGAAGGCTAGACACTCCCGCAAGGACGGGACCTGGTCGTGGTGCTTGGACGGAGGCTGCTTGGTGCTGCCGCTGTGCAGGGCTGGCGGCGCTGACGGGCAGCAGAGTGACGGACAGAACGATGCCCTGACGGGAAATGGGGTTGCAACTTGCTGGGCACGCACGAACCAAGGGGGAGGAGCTCCAATCCGCTTCGGGTGAATCTTGTCGAATCGATCAGACGAAGACTCCACTTTTAGAATCACAGAAGGTGGATCCGCTGGCTGGCTTGGCTTGGCTGGGCGGCTGTTCCTCTCTTCAACGCTGGAGTTTGTGTCGTTGGCGTCAATAAGATCTCAGTCGTCCATGTGGTGCGCGCTTGCGGCTGCTCCGTTCTCCGTTTGCATGGGTGGCTCCTTTTTAATCAAACTGTGAAAATATTCAGCTGAGTTGACGACAAGCCCGACCGAATCTACATGTGGCAGAATGTTTTGGGTCTCCAATCTGGGCTAGGAGATATTGCTATGACAATCACGATAAGACGAACCCCGCGCCGAAACAAGAAGTCTTTGACAGCTGGGAGAGGATCTGGCACCCGGCAATATCAATCTACTTGTAATTCTCACGTCTCACATTGACATGACACGGCAGTCATTTACGTTTGAGATGGTGTAGTGAGAGGGGCAAAAGGGTATGGTGACACCAGCGAGGGGCTTCTACCGTTGAAGAGCAGAGATAGCGATAACTCCTACATTAACATGTTAACATCTACAAAACAATGTCAACCAAAAAGGCTCCAATGTAAACAAGACATTCACACATCCACACTCGGGCCCTTGCAGCGTCTCAACTTCATCGGGGGAATCAACCTATGGCAGGCTGCATGTCAGAGCAAGCCGTAGCATCGTGCATCGCTCACTTGCGACCTTCCATCTTCTGTCCCGTTGCCCATTGTCCATTGATATCAATTCAAACCACGCTTTGAATCCAACGTCGCGGGGGTGGGCAGTCAACAGTGGAACACTCCATTTGCAAGTCTGCCATGTGTTGACCGGTGACGTGCTTTTTGTTTTCTTGATCTTCCCCAGATCCGGCCCGTTCCACCTCGATGGCCCGGCCAGCCGCCAGCCATGCTTACACAATAGGTTCAGGTCCTGGTGGCTTACATAATCTGGGTTGCATCCGATTGCCGAAGTACCTTGCCGGACATGTCTCTTGAGAATTGACAAACTGGAGAAAGTGCTTGTGAGTGCTTGCAGCAAAGAGTCACTCCCATGACTCCCGCTGCTCGGTTCCGTGGTCTTGGCAAGCCGGCCTTGACAGCTGCTGGCCCCGAGTCTAGCCGTTTGTCGGGTGGCCGGCAGCCCGTTTTTGTCGTCATTCGACCTCTGGCACGGATGCACCCCGGATCTCGTCTGTGCCCTTTTTCTGAACTTCTGGCCGATGCATTGATTGAACACCACTAACAACTACACCACCAAGCTACCCCGATATACACGCCCTTCCGTCCACTCCCCTCTCCTTCTAACCTAACCACCCAACCGTCACAATGGCCTCAATTGCTCGCTGCCTCCGGATCGCTCGTCCTTCCGCCGTTTCTGCTTTCGCCCAGAGCTCCGTCCGCATTGCGCGTCCCTTCTCCGTTACTGCCAACAGTGAGCTACCCGTTCCCGTCTCCATCAGCCGATGCGCTTCCCGATAGCGGAGTCCTCCCACTTGCGCCCATGATTCACAGCAGAACAACACATGCGCGCACAATCGCAACGCAATTTGCTAACCAACACCACCATCACCACAACAGATGAAGTAAGGAAGTACACCCGCGAGCACGAGTGGATCGAGCTCTCCGACGACAAGAAGACCGGTTACGTCGGCATCAGCTCCTACGCCGCCAAGGCCCTCGGCGACGTCGTCTTCGTCGAGCTCCCCGAGGAGGGCAAGGAGGTCCAGGCCGGTGATGCCCTTGGTGCCGTCGAGTCCGTCAAGTCTGCCGCCGACATCAACGCTCCCATCAGCTGCAAGGTCGTCGCCAGCAACATGACCCTCGAGGAGAGCCCCTCCACGATCAACAAGGTTCCCGAGGACCACTCTGCCAGCGGCGGTTGGGTCGCCAAGGTCCAGCTTAGCGAGAAGGGCGTTGCCGATTTCGAGAAGCTTATGGACGAGGAGGCCTACAAGGAGTTCACTGCCGCCGAGGACCACTAAACGATCGTTGGGGAACAAAACATGGGGCGCTTTGTGACGGAAAACCAAAAAGATTAATGATGCTTGGTGTATATTTGGCTATTTATGACGGAACCCGGGGAAATGGTTACGGGGATCAACTCAATTTCGGACAGTTCAACCTGCTTTTAGACAAGAACGAGAACAACAACATGGGGGCGCCTTAGAAGTACGCCCCAAAAGAAGTACTTATATCATCAAACGGCGAAGGGTGGTGTTTGGTAGTTTATGCATACATCGAATTGGAGTTCATCGGAAGAAGAAGGCATGCATGCAGCGGAGCGCCTCGAAGTGCCATGTCAGAATATGTATCATGCATGGAAAACATTGAGCAGATCGTATCAATCCCAGGATTGCGCCTCGCACACCTCTAGCTTTTAGTTCGCCCGCAAAAAACAAACATCGCGCCAACTTTTCATCCCATCCATCCATTCCTATCGTACAAAAACATCAGAGAAAACGCACTCAGAGATCGCCAACCTTGAGCGCACCACCCGAGGCACGACCCTTGTTGACAACGTCCAAGATCTTCTGCGCGCCCCTCTTCGCCAGGTCCTCCGCAAGCTTCCTACCCATCTCCTCCGCCTCCTCAGTCGTCTTGACCACCTCCACGCTCTGCCCATCCACACTCTCCTTTCCATCCAAGCTGACCACCGTCGCCTTAAGCTGCAACTTGTCATCCTCCACCCACTTGGTCTCAACACCAATCGGCACGCTGCACCCGCCCTCTAAGCTCCTCATGACCGCTCTCTCCGCAAACGTCGCCACCATCGTCTTCTCATGACACAGCGGCTTGATGATCTCCAACGTCTTCTCATCGCCCTCCCTGATCTCCATCGCCAACGCGCCCTGCCCAACAGCATGCAACATGCCTCCGCCCTCCGTTGTAGAATCCAACCACTGCGCGATCCGCTCATCGTAGCCCATCCTCAAGAGTCCAGCAGCAGCAAGGATGATGCAATCGTAGTCCTCCTCGTCACACTTGCGCATTCTCGTCTCGATGTTACCGCGCACATCCTTGAACACCAACCCAGGATACTGGCGACGGAGCTGTGCGGCGCGACGAACGGAGGAAGTACCGACGATAGCACCCTCCGGCAAATCGGCAAGGACCTTGTATTTGCCCTGCTCAGCCCACTTCTTCTTCATGACCACCACATCGCGAGGATCTTCACGCTCCGTGACGACGCCGATCTTGCCGCCCTCCGGGAGTGTGGTGGGCACGTCCTTGAGACAGTGCACGATGAAGTCGACTTCGTTGTTGAAAAGCTTGGCTTCGAGCTCGTTGGTCCAGAGACCCTTGCCGAGGGAAGGGAGAGAGGCGGTTTGGTTCTTGTCGCCGAGGGTGGCGAGAGCGTGGACTTGGAAGTGCACGTTGGGGTGGTGAGGCTGGAGGGCGGCGATGACGAGGTCGACTTGTCGGAGGGCGAGGGCGGAGCGGCGGGTGCCAATGTGGACTGTTTGTTTTTGTTGTTCAGACATTTTGGCTGTGGTTGTCTTGATTTGTTGTTGAGACGGCTAAGTTTGAGAGTGATGATTTGGTTGGTGAGAGTGAGGTTGAGGGATGGATGGATGAGTGACTGATGCTAGTCGCAAGTAGTCGCAAGAGTAAGACAGTCCTGACGGGTATCTTCTTGTCCAAACGAGTTGTTTTGATGAAGAAAGAGACAGCTCAATCAAAGTCTAATCGAGTCAGGGTCGTGTAACACTTTCTCGGTCGTGAGTCTGGGGAAGTCCAGGAATTCGGAAACGTGACAGAGGGGCAACTTCCACTTCGCAGTCTGGAGCCGTCGGGGACAGCGGGAACCACCCCGCCGCCAAGACCTCGGACAGGGGAAAGTTCAGACGTCCGGCGGGCGGACCCACTTTGTGAGACGGAGCCGGTGGAGACCCCACACTTGCCGCCGTTGCTGCCACCGGCATCGGAAAAGAGGATGCCATCAATGCCGCCCCGGCATCGGTCCAACACGCGGGCCATGGGCGGAAGTCCCGGGTAGGCGAGTGAAAATCGCAAAATCAAATCATTCTGCACACGACGCTGGTCATTTTGTTGGCGGTGGGTCACTTCCACCCGACCCAGCTTCCTAGTTCACAACAACACCCACTATCAAACGTCAACTGGAGAGAATACTAATTACTCGAATTTTAGGTGCCTTGATGCTGATGATTAAGACTAATGATTAAAGCTTCTGTTTGCAGGTGTTTCCAACCAACTCATCTTGGCCATCAACTCCGTCATACCTCTATCCCAGGTCTTTCTCCTGGGTGGTCCTCAACCAAAAGTGTGTCATCCCGAATGTCGGCCAGCCGTGATGCATGTTCCACCATTTTGCACAGCTTTCCTCAAGTTTCTCAACCCCACGAAATCTCCTATCCGGTCCGTTACCTCCCGCTGATTCACGACAACGAATTCACGACTTACTCCCACTTCTCCGCTCTGCGCCCCTCCGATCTCTCTCCAAAAAGTGTTCCAGCAACTGGTGCGCTCTGGTCCCAATGCTGATGCTGGACGCGCTCAAAGACGGACTAGCAGCAGCCACTCTCTTGGGCGGGGGACTTCTCGGCTCCGGACTCTTCGCCTGTGGACTCACCGGTCCGGTCCTAGCCAACACCCTTGCATCCTGCCCGGCCTCGGCTGATACCCTTGCATCGGCCCTTGCATCGGGCGACGGAAGATCAGCACGCGACGACACTCGGGCATCAGACACCAAATCATGAATATTTTCTCCCGAATGTTTCGGCGTCCCGACGTGACTATCATGGCGAAGCGAGTGCGGTCTTCCAGCTGCTAGACCTCCCAGTTTTGATCCCAGACCTGGGCTCGCATTCCTGGCGTCGGAAGCAAGGTTGTGGTTCTCACCACCAGGACTAGGACTTGGTGTGGCAATTTGTCTGTCTTCGAGGAGATCATGCGGCCGCACCAAGGCCGGAGGAGTTGCGACGCGCTGGTCCAGATGGATGCCATGCCTGAAAGGACCGCCAGTTCTGGGAACCGTGGGGTGCTTGTCTTCGGCAATCCTGTGATCGCGGATGGAGCTCGGTTTGGGCGAATTGATGCGGGGATCGGACTCGATGGGATGGTCTCTGGCCCTGGAGGCGGCAAGCGCAACCTTGGGATCTACATGCAGACCGTGAGGCTCATGCTGCTGGTCAGGCAAGTTGAGGATAGTATCCTTGCCAAGGTCGTGAGCTTCCGGCTGCTGAGGCAAGCCAACGAGGGTATCGGTGCCCAGATTATGCGGTTGCGGACGAGTCACGTCCTACGCTAGTTGCTCGTCGATGCTGAGACGGTGTCTGATGTCCCGAGCAGGGGTCACCGGAATTTGCAAGTCTTGGGAAATGTCATGGGGACGATCACCGATTCGCGGCTCATCAACCCGGCCACGGATCGATTCTGAAATCACGGCTTCCGCTTCCTCAACTGTGACCACCTTGGGAGACTGGTTCGCCACGTCACGCAGGGCGGCAAGCTGCTCGAGAGCTGATGGCTTCATGTTGGGTGTCTCAGAGTGTGAAGAGGAAGGGAATGCACCAGGAAGCTGGGGGAGCTGAGTAGAAACGTGAGGAGAGCCTGCAGGGATGGTTGCGGGTGGCATAGATGGAGTGTCGAATGCACCAGGCAAATGCGGAAGTCGGGGAGGAGCATTGAGGGAGCTGCTTGGGGCAGCGTCAGGAATCTGTGAGAACATTTCATCGGCGGATGGGTGATCAAATTCCTCGGAAAATCTGGACTTGCGGACTGGAGTACGGGCCTTTCCAATGTTGGGTGCTTTTCGAGAGAGATCGGGGGATGGGACGCGCGCTTCGATCACGGGGAATTGTGCAGAGGGTTCATCGAATCTGTACTCAGACAGCTGGATGTCGAGGGATCTTTGTGAAGTTGGGGGCGAATCAGACAAGCCCCCGGCAACGTTAGACTCGATTGTCTTTGTGGGCGAATCCGCAGAAAGGCGCGGCGCTTCAAGCCGGCCAGGCTGAAGCCCAGGACTACGAACATTGGTAGATCTGGCTGCGTTTGGGAGTGAGTTCAGGGCCCGATTCGGCGCTGATTGGCTCAGCTCTTCATGTCGATCTGGTCGAGACTCAGGGCTCCGGTCATTAGTAGATCCAGCAAGTACCTTTGAAGGCGATTGCCGGGGCCGGCCTGGATCTTCAAAACGATCAGGTTGGTATTCAGGACCCCGCACGCTGGTCGATCCGGTGGATGCCCTCCGAGGGGATTCCCGGGATTGCACGGGTTCTGCCAACGGATCCGTGTCCGGGCTTCGACGTTTTCTAGATCTGTCGTGGTCACGAGTCGGAATTGGCGCCTGGATGGGGGCATTGCTGGTGGTGACGTGCATGACAGGAGGGCTTGTCGTTCTTTGGAAGGTGTTCATTGCCGGGCCCAAAATGGTGCTCCTCTTCCTTTCTTCCACAGCTTGATTCTCTGCTTCTTCGATGGGAGTCAAAGTTCCTTCTCTGTTGCGTCGTTGGTTGACATTCGAGGGACCAGCCTCGGTGCCAGGGCTAACGGGGGATTGAGAAACATAGCCAACTTCAGTAGGATGCGAGGCAGCAACATTGGGTGCATTTGCCTGTCCTGGTTCGTGGAAGCGCACTTCCCGAAGAGTAGGCTGGCCATCCGGCGGAGATGACGTTTCCGGAGACGTGATCGGCTTCAGGATGCCTCGGGGAGTAGTCATTCGCGGTTCCGACTTGTAGCCATCGGGCTTGATGGCGAAGATGGGCTGGTAGCTCTCACCGATGGGCCGCGGAGGAGGGAGATCGGCCTCTCGTTTCATGCTCTCACGCTGGCGGATCTCGAGGTCATTTCGAATCAGGGAACATGGCTGACAGAGGATGCCTTTGGTAATATCGTCTCCTGTTGTGCCCTTGATGCCATACTTTTCACGGATCCTGGTCGTCTCTTTTCCGGTGTAGATGCCGCTGCCGATGTCTACTTTGTTGTTAACTAACGGTCACAGGTCAAGAACGAGAGGGAAAAAGCGTGACACATACATAAACCTCCAGTGCACAACCCGAAGAACTTCCAACAAGTTGGGTTGCACTCTTCGTAATCGGCGAGATCAAGAGGATCGTGTCCCTGTTCCATCAGGTTCAAGCGGTATCGGGTGCGGCCGAACATGTCACAGGGGAGAAGATATGCTCGGGTACCGTCCATATCATCGCCAGGATCATAGAGGCTGATTTTCCAGTCATTGTCTGGGATCTCCAGCGGCCTGGACAAAGTGTTTTCTTTGGTTGAAGGCTCTCGGTCCGCCATTGCGAGTTTAAGTGAGGATGGAGGAAAACTGGATGTGCGGAATATAATGATTCTGGCTTTGTGAAGGGATTATGCCGGGACGATGGCCAAGGGCAAATGAGTGGCTGGGATGAACTGGAGAAGGGTTCCGCGAAGAAACTGGTGATTTGACAGGCCGCGAGGTGGAAGAAGTCTGGCAAGTTGCTGCTTGAACCGTGAATGCTTTGTTTAATTGTCATGTGGTCTTTCCTCGCACTTGCCCGTGGTGTTTTGGTTTGCCAGAGGTAAGTATCAGCAACATCAAGTTGCGCTTTCTTCAGGTTAGCTAGGTACTACGAACACACTGGACGAAATACTTCTCAAACTGATCCAACCCTCACATGGACGAAATGAAATGGCTACATACGAACCGGGAAAGGCATTAGTAGAATTTCATACACATATGCAAGGTAGGATCATGCTTTAGTTAACAGATCTATCAGAAATCAAAATACCTAAGAAGGTTGACGAGAGGTTTCGAGCTACCAAACATGCCAATATTGGACTGGTCAAATGGCATTGCGTCATCGAAGGTTATCCGGGATATGCTCGGTAAGTAACAACCGTGATGCGGCTTGGGTTTGATCGCGCTCGCCCTGGCTGACGCAGTCGAATTGTCAGATATAATTACACACTCGCTTGTCCGTTCCTGCGCGAGAGTACACGATGCTTCCCCTTTAGTCGTCCGCGCCCAGATTAAGATCCTTCCACTTTATTCCCTGTTGATGGCCTTTTCGGTCAAGCTGGCACCTGGTCGTGAATCGGGCAGGTCGGACTCGCTGCTGGTTGAAGACTCTTTTCCACTTGGGTGCGACGACTCTGCTGAGGGCGGCGGAACAACGGTCTTGGGGCTCGCCTCATATGTGGATGAACCTTCCGAGACGACTCCCAACTTTCCGGCCGACTACGGGATAGGCCATACACATTAGCATGTGTTTCTCATGGTCAGTTCAGCTTGTGAATTGGGCTTTGACTCACCTTGTCGTCCTTCAGCCTGTCCCTTTGATTCGACTGCTTGGAGTTGCCTTCATCGGGCGTTTTGAAGTTCAGATTGTTGTTGTCCGAACTGGTTTCCTTCAGCTTCGCCTTGGCTACATCCTTCTCGGTAGGCTGTTCCCACGCGTATTCTTCATGGCTCTTGTAGCCTTCGTGTTCCTTTCCGTGCCCGATGGGCTTCTTCTTTGCGGATCCGCTTGACACTAGATACAAGCCGATGGGGACGGAGATTCCGAGCGAGGTGAGCAGCCTGGGGGAATTGTCAGCTGGGCTGGAATGATTTATGTTGGCAACAAGAGATGGAGAAGGAAACATACCAAGTCCGGTCGCTTGCCTTGTGAGCATTGCCCAAGCTTGCATATCCTCTTTGGCCAACGGAGCGTGTGAAAGCCACTTGGTTACTGATGGGCTGGCGGACTGTGGACCGCAGAATGGAAGCTCCGGCTCTTGAGGCTAGCATTGTGAAAGCTGTTTTGGTAGATGTTTAAATCCAGGTGGTGGTGTATGTGTGTCGTTCGTAAGTGGATGTCTTGCTCGTCAAAGGTAGACTCGTAGTTGTTTGTTTGTTTGTATATTGACACAGGAAAGACTTTTAGCTGAGGGAATCACTTCACAAATAAATATAAATAGGGTCTTGTGTTACCCAATTACCCTTCTACTCCTTTAAGTCATACACGAGAAATGTACCTGATGTCCTTTCCCGAGCGGGATGGAGGCTCCCATACTTGATCTTTCGGGGTGCTCATTTCCCGATGCTGACCTGTTGCCGTTGGACGATGCTATCAATGATGTCGACGACTTGGACGGGATGCTTGGCGCCAGTAATGCAACGGATGCTGTTAATACTCCCTTTGCCCGTCAGGCTGGGGACCCCTGGTCTTTGAATGGTTCTTGTCTTTCTGCAACAACGCCCAAATATCTTGGATCTCAATCACCCGGTACAGATGGTGAAGGTTGGCATCCGTGGTCGCAGAGAGTTGTTGATCAAGACCTCCTTGTCGGTCCTCTGAACCGTGCATCAACACCAGATGGTTCGAGCTTGGCGGAGGATGGCTGCCATAAGACAGGAGCTGGCCCCACTTTGCTGCCTGCCGCAAGCTACCACCTGGTACCTGCCTGCCTGGAGGCTGGCGATACGTACCTTAGCAGGTCACCCCTGTCATTACCCCACCATTTGACAGCAGCGGCGGGCATGAGCTCCCACTTGGGTCGCCGTCCAGACTGCAGATTGCACCTTTTCGGTTCAGTTGACTTTACAGTTCATGTCTGGTGCCTGCGTGTGTTGTTGTTGACCTGACATTGAAAGAGGCAAACAAACATTCGACTTTTTCTCTAAATCAACAGCTTCCGTCCTTTCCTGCGCATTTCCATCCAGCTCCCCGACGAACGAAGCAATAACGACTCTCGGATCGCAACAGTGCAGTCCCGTCCAGAAGAAAGCAGCCATTCCACTTGTACTGAGTGGTCTGTTATACGTAAGTGGTAGCTCTCAATGACCTTCCGTCACCTTGCTGGCCCATCTCCACTTCACATCGCGACATCAACACCATCAACTCACCACCATCAACAAACCATTTACTGCTAGCAACATATCGCACGGCGCAACCCCATACGCGCGGAAGCTAACATCGCCATAGAAAGCCCAGTCTTTGCCACATCTAGTACCATTATCGAATGCGCGGTTGATCCCACAATAATACATACATCATGGCGACGCCAGGCACGTCCAACCCGACCTCCCACACGGTCAGCCTCCTGCTCTCCAAGATCAACGATGCCGACCCCGATTACCGTTACATGGCCCTCAACGATCTGTTGGCCACCCTCAACATTGCCAAGCCAGACCTCCTCCAACACGACTACAACACATCAAATCGCACTCTCGACGAGGTCATCAAGGCTTTGGGTGATCAGAATGGCGAGGTCCAGAACCAGGCCATCAAGGTGCTGGGTCCCCTATTCAAGAAGCTCCCATGGCAGACCTACGGCACCGCCATGCAGAAGCTTATCGAGTTGCAAAGCCAAAACTCGGATATCAACTCAGTTCCTGCCATGGCCCTCAAAGCTGTCATCGAAGCCTTTCCGCGTCCTGTGCCCGGTGTCGCGACGAGTAAGGAAGCGCAAGAGGCTTACGAGACCATCAGCAAGTTGCTCATTCCTCGCTTCCTGGGTCAGACCACCGGCAAACAGGTACCCGGCCTGCTCCAAGGAGGCCAAGTCACTTCGGATTCTGTCGACGTTCTCATAGAAGTCGTCAGATGCTTCGGCCCAGTGCTTACCCTTGTTGAGGTTGAGGCTCTCCACGATGCTGTTGTTAGCCTTTTGGCCCAGGAGAAGTCCACATCAGTCGTCAAGAAGAGAGCCGTTGCCGCCGTGTCTATGCTGGCTCACTACTTGTCGGACGATCTTTTGGCTACTTTCGTTAAGCGCACTGTCTCTCTGTTGCGCAAGTCCAGCATGCCACCCGCTACCCGCCGTCTCTACATCACAATCCTGGGTTCCATGGCCCGTTCCATTCCTCATCGGTTTGGCCGTTATCTGCCCGAGGTGGTCACTTTCGTTCTCGATGCCCTTAACGAGGAGGAGTTGCAGGCACAACTCGAAGCCATCCAAGAAGGAAGCGAGACTACTTCGGAATGGGGCGATGTTCGGGAAGCCGCTCTTGTTGCCCTGGACGCATTCCTTTCCTCCTGTCCCAACCAGATGCGTCCCTACACGAATGATGCCATCGATGCCTGTCTGCGGTACCTCAAGTTCGATCCCAACTATGCCGCCGACGAGGACGAGGATATGGAAGAGGAGGAAGACGAGGAAGACGATTTCGACGATGACGACGAGTTCGAGGCTGATGGTAACTTTGACGACGACGATGATGCAAGCTGGAAGGTCAGGCGGTGCGCTGCCAAGGCCCTGCATACCATCATTTCAACACGAAGCAGCGGCGACCTCTTGGAGAGCGGTGTTCTCTACCAAAAGGTTGCTCCGGCATTGATCAAGAGGTTCGACGAGCGCGAGGAGAATGTTCGTCTGGAGGTTCTCTCTGCCGTCTCCTTGCTGATTCGCAAGACGGGAGAGGGTGTCATTCCTGACTTTACGATCGACAGCGCCACTGGCGATAGCCTTGGCCAAGCTCCTCAGAGCCGGAAGCGCAGACGCCAGAGTAGCGCAGCTGGTCAAGCTGGTCTGCCGGTAAATCTCTCCGGCACTGGGCTTACATCGCCAAAGGCCGAAAAGATCCCAGCAACGGGACCTCGTGCCGATCTCGCCGCCCTCACTCCTGCCATTGTCAAGTCGGCTACCAAACTGCTCAAGGGCAAGCTCATTCCCACGAAGCAGGCCACCATCAATATTCTTGATGATCTGATTTCGGTTCAAAAGGGTGGCCTTGCGCCATATCTCGACCAGATCACGGACCTTATTCTGGATGCCATCAAACCGACCGGATTAGGCACCTCATCGACGCAGATTTCTTTTACTGGGGGGTAACGCCTCTGCTACGACTAACACTCTTCGCATTGCGGCGCTTCGCCTCATTAGCAGCTTCGCCAGGAACCACTCGTCAAATGACCTGCAGCCTTACCTACCAAAGATCGTTGATGGTGTTGTTTCAGTTGTTCATGACCGTGTCTACAAGATCGCCGCTGAGGCTGTCCAAACTGCCGAGGAAGTCTCCAAGGCCATCACACCCCCACGTGCTCGCATGACTGCGCAAAAGTACAAGGGAGAGCTGCAAAAGCTTTACAATGTGATGGTTGACCGCACCACGGACAATGATGCTGACGCCGAAGTTCGCCAAAAGGCCATCCATGCCCTTGGGACCCTCCTCTCTCGGACATCAGATGCTGAAGGCGCCGCCTTGCTCCCGGATGAGAACCGGAAGACTGCTCTCGGTCACCTTAAGGACAGGCTCTTCAACGAAACCACGCGTCTCGCCGCCGTCCGGGCAATTGACACTGTTGCCGCTTTCTCATCGTCTGGAGCTTCTTTCGACGCGCCGTGGACTCAAGAAGTTGTTGGTGAACTTGCCGCTCAGTTGCGCAAGGCCAACCGTTCCTTGAGGGGCTCCAGCGTTATGGCCCTCAAGCATTTGGTCCTCTCGCCGGCTACCAAGAACACTCTAGATGATGCGACTGTCCAGAAGGTGGTGACCGCGCTGGTTACAGTCATCACGCACTACGACGCCCAGCTTCTTGGCCCTGGTCTTCTCGTGCTTGCACGCCTGGCACAGGAGAAGCCGCAAATCGTCATCACTCACGAGCTCATGACCGCGCTCTGTAAACTACTTATGGAGTCGACAGTTACAGGCACGGTCCTTGACTCTCTTCTAGTGCTTGTCCATAGCATCGGCCAGACTGGGAAGGGAGAGATTCTGATGCAGCGCCTGCTCAACCAGGTTGCCCTGAGCGGTGACCCCGCGGTGGTCGGCAAGGTTATCGGTACCCTTCTTGTGGCGAGTGGTAATAAGGGCACCTACACGGCCGAGCTTTTCGTCCAGGAGATCCAGCAGCAGAAGGGTGAGAGGGCCAGCCTTGCGCTTACCATTCTGGGTGAGGCCGGACTTCGTCTTGGCGATAAGTTCCCGTACTCTCCCAGCCTCTTCCTTGAGCAGTTCCATAGCGAGTACGACAAGACGGCGCTTTCTGCCGCCGTTGCTTTGGGTCGTGCTGGAGCGGGCAACGTAACTGCTTATGTCCCGGTCATCCTTGAGTCGATGCATCAGGGGGGTAACACGCAGTACTTGCTTCTTCAGTCTATCAAGGAGGTTCTCCAGCAAGTTGCTATGTCTTCGACCGATCTTGGCCAGTTGTCGACTCCCATCTGGAACCAGATCCTTGCTGCGTCTGGGTCGGAGGATAACAAGGCGGTTTGTGCAGAGTGTATTGGTCGTTTGGTTATCATTGATCCCAAGACGTACATGTTGAAGCTTGTCGTAAGTTGGGACCTCGCTCATCCAAGGTTTTCCGGCGCTAACATTCTATAGTCCCTGCTCAACGACCAGTCGCCTTTGTTGAGGGCCATCGCCATTCAGGCCCTTCGCTACACTCTCCCCGACGAGAACGAGGTCTTTGACAGCATGCTCAAGAGCCACCTGGTTGACATGCTCAAGACGATGCTGGAGGATCCTGAGATGGAGAACCGTCGTCATGCCATGTCGACCTTCAACTCGGCGGCGCACAACAAGGCGGACATCATCCTTGTTCATCTTAACAAGCTGATGCCTTATGTCATGAGGGAGACGGTGATCAAGCCGGAGCTCATCAGGGAGGTTCAGATGGGTCCGTTCAAGCATATTATTGATGATGGTTTGGAACTTCGCAAGGTGAGTAGGCCATTCTTGTGCACAAGGTTACCCGAGACTAATATTCATAGGCTGCATACGAAACCCTCTACGCTCTCATGGAGACGGCGTTTTCCCGCATCAGCATTATTGATCTTTACGACCGCATTGTCGCCGGCCTGTCGGATGACAACGATATCAAGGCTCTCTGCAACCTGATGGTCTCCAAACTCGCCTACATCGCCCCCGAAGAGACCATTCGCCGTCTCGACTCCATCGCAGAGGCCTTCCGCAAGACGCTGTCGACCAAGCTGAAGGACACAGCGGTGAAGCAGGAGCTCGAGAAGCTAGCTGAGGCTAACCGGGCAGCTCTTCGGGTCACACTCTTGCTCGGGGAGAAACTCAAGGCTTACCTAAGCACGGGCGGCGTGGTCGGAGCGGCAGCCCCCCGGGGGCTCGGCTGCAGTGGCAGGAACCAACCAGGTCTGGCATAGCTATTGGGAGTGGGTATCGAAGGACTTTAGGACAGACCTTCAATCCCTCAGGGAGGAGGAGAGCAAGGGTGCCGGCCTGATTTAGTATGCCCGGTCGGATGACAGTATATCTATGCCTGACTATTTATCCACGGGAAAGGGATAAGGCTGATATGCAAGATTATTGGAGGAAACGGTGATGCGGGAATTAAGAATGGGGTGGATGGGATTACAATGAAAGTGATGACCTTGTGCTGGAGGTAGATAGGAAGGTATAGGAGTCGTCATCTCGGAGTCGTGAAAGGGCGATTAAGAGTAAAGACGGGGGTTTAGTAGTTGAAAGTGCCAATAGTTTTATTCCATTACGATACGTAGAAGTGCTTCAGTTTTTAGCGACGGAAGAACAAAACATAATACATATGATATCTACTTGCGTATGCTCCTGATTTTGTCGACCACGTTGGAGGGCTTCCAGAAATTGTGTGAAAAGGGGGGGGTTCCAAATCAAAACATTTAAAGGTCTTCCTTATGCAAGCGCATGCAAGCAGTACCGGTACTTCCAAGGTACCTGCTACTCATCGGACCCACTACCCGTCAAGCCACAGTCAATCGCGGCTACCGTAGCTTCGTTCACCACTGACACCTGAAGCTCCCGAGTCCCCTCGTCAACTTGCCGCCGTTGGTATCCCACGATTTCCATACACCCAATCCAATCCAACCCGCGATCATCCCACCACGCATAGCTGTCTACGAGCATCACGACGCCAACCTGCCATCGCATCATACACCATACAACAACGGGCGCGCACATACGTACCTACCATCTTACCGCCGTCCCAATACCACAAGTCCCCGGCAGCTCTCACATCCTCCACACAAGTGTCACAGCAACAATGTCCAACCACCTACCAGCCTCCGGAGGCAACGGCAGCCACGGGGCGCGCGCAGGCGATTCCGGGCTCCGATACCCGTCGAACGGCAAGACGATCTATCACCGGCCACTCAACCGCACCAAGACGGCGGAGCTGAGCAAGGCGGCTTTTGCGTATTTGTTTGCGGAAATGGTGTCGTATGCGCAGAGGAGGGTGACGGGGATTCAGGAGTTGGAGAAACGGTAGGCCAACTCTTCTGGTTTTTCTTGTCTTCTGCGGATTTTGCTTTGGGCTTGACACCGGCCTTGACCCGGTCGTGTCCTGGCCGTGTCGCTCTAGCTGGGCTGTCTCCCACTGGAATGGCCTCTGGTCTTGGAGCTGTCGGCGTGGCTTCCCTCTCGTTGCCCATACACTTCCTGCCCATCACTTTTACCAACCGTAGCCCATTATCCAGTCCACATGCTAATCCCAAACCTCGCTTCAGACTCAACCTCCAAGGCCATCCCATAGGCCTCAAACTCCTCGACCTCCTCCTCTTCCGCGAACCCCCGCGCTCGCAACTGCGTCCACTGAACATCATCGCCCTCCTGCACTTCATCAAGATTAACATCTGGACGCATCTCTTCGGGCGACAAGCCGACCGGCTCGAGAAGTCTTCCAACCCCGATACACCGGACGAGTTCATGATCATCGACAACGAACCGCTTGTGAACGCGTACATCAGCGTGCCGAAGGAGATGAGCCAGTTGAACTGCGCGGCGTTTGCGGCGGGGATTATTGAGGGGGTATGTGATGGGGCGGGGTTTCCCGCTAGGGTGACGGCGCATACGGTTGGGGATACGGCTGGTGGGAGTAATGGGAGTGGAAGTGGAGGGACGGGAGGGACAGGAGCGGCGGACGGGGAGATGTGGCCTGGCCGAACGGTGTTCTTGGTCAAGTTTCAGCCGGAGGTGTTGGAAAGGGAGGCGTTGATTGGGAATAAGAGCTGATGGTCGGTAAGGACGTAGAAAGAGGTGGAAAAGGGCGGTACAAGAGTGGGTTGACAGGAAGAAGGGACAGATGCTGAAGGGAGGTGTGTTTTGCTTGGGGCTTTTGGGATTTGGAATTGGGCATTTAGCATGGCGTTTAACCGGTTATGACGGCATCGTTTGTGAATATTATCACAGGTTCAGAGAGAGAACAGTTAATACGAGAGGCGCATTGCCTGAGAGAGTATGGTTATCGATCACGGGTTGAAGAGATCGAATTCCAGAAGAAAAAGCTGATCTTGTTTCTAGAAATTAAAGCCCATAGGGATATTTTTGATAAGCGATTTTGCGCCGTCCTGAATATGCTACCATACTCCTCTCTGGACATGCCGTCGGGATATGCGCTGCTTGCCGAGCTGTGTGCTGTAATCCGAGGCCTACCAAATTAACCCATGTAGTCCATGACCTCCCAACTCCGAGCATGCGCTTCGTCCCAGAGTCGCAAAATAAAAGCCCAAACTCCTGCTTATGCTATAACCCCAAAGATTCGGAACTTGTCCGTCCGCCCGCACGCGCCGTGTCTTGCAGCTCATGCGATGCCGTCGCTTTGTCCTCGCCCATTCCCCCTGTCAAATGCTCGTTCAACTTCCGTGTCCAGACACCGTCCATATGTCGTCACCATCATCTCTCCCCTTCTTCAAGCACCCATTACCTCGGCAACCCCCCATACCCACCACCAGCCCTCATCTTCTTCCTCGCAACCCTCCTCCCTCCATTCCCCGTCATTCCACCCCCAGCAACACCAGCCGTACTGCCACCACCCACGCCACCATTTCCCAATCCCAACCCGGCCCCCGGCGCGCCAGGACCTTGCTGCATCAGCTCATCAAGTCTTAGATCTCTCCAAGCCGGCTCGCGCGTCTTTTGCGTAGCCTTTTGAATGCCGAAAGCAGCGTGTTGGTCGGGGACTACGTCATCTTCGTCTTCGGGATTCAAGGGCTGTAAGTGGGGTGGCACGTAAATGTCTTCGGAGGAAGGGAGACGGTCGCGCGTGAAGTCGTCGAAGAGATCGGCGTGGTGGGAGGCGTGGAGGTGGAGAGGGGTGAAGTGGGCGTCTTTGTTCTGTTTTCAAGAAGGGAGGGAGCATTAGCGACTGATAAAAAAAAAAAAAGAATGGGAGGAGGAAAGATACAAAACTAACAGACAGGGACATGGACATAGACATGGGACATGGGGACATGGAGAAAGGAAGAAAACAACAAACATACCATACTTAAACCACCTTCACCAACCGGTCCAAAAAAGATATCAGCGTTATCCTTCAACCCTGGCGCCGGCGCAATATCTCCGTGGTAATCAAGTTGGATATTTGAACGAGGACGCGGGTAGACTGGGTGTAGAGAATCTTGGATCGCGTTCCAGTGGTGACGCTGCTGCGGGTTGGTGGATTGGCCCGGTCGAGATCCGTACCGGTTCGTGGTCCAGGCTGAGGGTTGGTGAGACATCCTTCTGAGAGCTGAGTGGTGGTGGTGACGCTGCGGGTGCTGCGGGTGCTGCAGGGCGATAAGGGAGTGGGGCGGCGATAAAGAGGGTGTGGCTGGTGTAAGTATCTTGAGGTACTTCGTTGTGTACTTGCGTGAGTGAGCGCTGCGCGAGAGATGCCAATACCAAAACAACCAAAAATGTTGTTGGTGATAATGTTGGTGTTGAGGGAAATTTGAGGAGATGATGGAGAAGGGTAGAGGTTTGTTGTTTTCTTGTCCATCGCTGCTTGCAACCACGCTGGGCAGACAGGTTCAGATGTTCAGATGGAAGAAGTCACACCCCATTCACGCGTCCTTTCCGTTTTCGTTCGCGGGTTGAACAATGAACGACTGGAACCTGACGGCGGAGTGAAAGAACCATACCACCGGCACCAGCTCGCGCTGTTGACCGGCAGGTTACTGATCTCTACTTGTGATGTCGCGGATTACGGACACACAAGTCAAAACATCGGAACTCACGATAACTCACAACGAGGGTGACGACCGCGGCGATGCATGGCGGTCAGATTTTGGATTATCGCGACAACATGACAATTCTCGCTTTTCCAACTCTGTCTTTTCGGGTTTGGGTGAACCATCTACGAGGCTCGCCCCGGGCAGATCCGAATTACAACCATCACACGCGGAAACCAAAGCTCGGGGTCTCTCGAGTCAAATTCTCAAAACATTCCACATGCTTCCTCGTGTACCGAGGCAGCTCTCAGCCATTTTCGTCGTTAACACACGGATTTAATCCAACAGGCATGGCTGTCGATTTGGTACCAAGCCAGTATGGCAAGCCTCAAGCTTCATTCTATCCACACCCATCGAAAGAGCTCGGTGATTCACGAGTGTTTGCCCTGGCTCAATCGACGTGGAACAAGTCCGCTGGAGGTATTCATCATCAGCTACTCCTGGATTGATTCAATGCAAGAACACGCCAGCACTCAGACCAAGAGGTTCATTAGTTCACAGAAATGTAGGAGGTAAATCAAGAGTTTCTGGCAACGAAGACTGCGAGCGGCTACCTGGCACTTGAGCTATATTGCTCATGTCAGTGACTGTCGAACACATCACCATGGTCGAGTATCGAGCCATCAGACACCAGCATCTCAATCAGATCTTCCGAGCTCGAAAAACGCCGAGAAACCCTTCCAAGTCCAAAATTCCCCTTGTCCTTGCTTCAGCCGTGGCTAATAAGAAGCAGCTCATCTGTGTCGTGGAAATTGTGGACAAGAGCCGCCCAAGCTGAGATTGTTCTCAGTCCGGTCCGATCCTTTCTCACCCGTCCTAGCAATACCAGAAAAAGCTTTCCACCACACTGCAATTCTCATCCGGATTATCCTCGCGATCATCAGGTCCCGTATTGCCAGCAGCCTTATTCTCATCCTGCTCAGTGGCCGTCAGCATCCCATCCACCTTCCGCTCAAACAGCGTCATCTCTGGTTTTGCCATTGCAACCACCAAAGAAGCCTTGCGGCTGGCTACAACCCTGACCAGGATCTCCGTCACCGACCACATTCTTCATATCATCATCACCAAGTTTCTCACGCACCTTTTCAATCTCCTCTCGCTTGATGATGTCCTTTTCGTTGCAACCTCCGAAGAAGCATGACGAGTGCCAACCATCGCGTCCCTTATCATCGGCGTCCTTCTCATCTCCCTTAACAACAGCCGGCTTCTCATCATCGGCCGACTTCTTGACAACCTTGACAAACATCTCCTCCCGCTTAGTGGTAGCAAGCTTACCATCACAGCCTCCGAAAAAGCCTTGCGGCAGGCTACATCCCTGACCAGGGTCACCGTCACCACGTTCAGCAACCTGGCCTTCGACGTTGACAGACTTCTTCTCATCCTCCTCGGGGATAGCCAACCCGGTATTGTCCTCAGGCTCACGCTTCTCGTTAGAGACAACAACATGTTCCTTGCCATCAACCCGCTTCTGTCGTTCAATCTCAGCCAATTTAACAGTCTCCAGCGCCCCCATCGTCAAAGTCGCACTATACAAGTAGGTTTGTATCCACCCGCCAACCTGCTGCTCGCCCACGCACGTATCCAGCACCTCTTTCATTCTTTGCTTGATATCCTTCTTGGCGAGCTTGACGGGCCAGCCATCGCGCTCATTATAGTTGCAGATGACGATGTGGCAGGTGTTGTAGTCGCCCTTCTTGCAGTCATTGGCGCCGGTGGACCAGGAGAGGACGAAGTCATCGGGGTTGGTGGGGGCTGAGTGGATGTCAGGGTCGGGGACCCAGAGGGTGTTGTTAGAGGAGAGGAACTCGTGGTAGAGGCTGCGGCAGTCGTTGAAGCCGGAGGGGTAGGGGACGGCATCTTCGTCGGTTATCTGGGGTTTTGTTAGGGATCGGTCGTTGAGAGGAAGGGAAGACGAGAATGAGAGGGAAGAGGGAAAGGGGAAAAAAGAGAGGAAGACTTACATAAAGGCATTGGGCTTCGGTCGAATTGCGGCTATCATTTCCAGGAGAAGGGTCGTCGGGAATCTCGTCCACTTCGCTCTTTTCCTCCGAAGCACGCTTCCCATCACAACCGCCAAAGAACCCTTGAGGCTGATTGCATCCCTGACCAGGATCACCCGAGCCACGATTATCAAGACCCTTCCCTTTGCCATTTCCAGAGCCGGGAGGAGAGATACCGTTCGAACCGCAAGACCAGGTATAATCCGCGATCTGGGTGCATGAGTAATTAGGGTTGACATCAAACGGGTCGCTGTCATCCTGAGTGTCCTTGTTCTTGGGGTTGGGCCCAACCGTAGAAAGAACCATCGCGAGATGCTCCTCGTTGACCTTGTACTTGCTGGCATCGCTGCCGTCGGGGCCATTAAAGCTGCAAGTAGCATTTCCCTGCTTGCCAATGACGCAGCGGACATCAGCACCCGTGCAGACATAGTCCCCAGTAACATCAGTGACGCAGGAGAAATCCGGATCACCTCCATCTTCTGAGTCCCTGCTGCTGGTCTTGAAGAGGTCGTTGGCAGAAGTATTAGAAATGCAAAAAACATTGCTGCCATCGTCGAAGGTGCAGGTCTCGTTGTTGGGACCGCCGCTGCAAATGTATTGTCGGAGGGCAGTGTTTTTGCAATCCCAGACGCCGTAGGGATCGCCGTCATTTCTGGCTTTGACAGTGTTGATAGCAGCAGCTGCGTCGATGGTGGTAGTCTTGAGATCCATCTTGTTGTTTTTAGTGCAATTCCGGTTCATGTCCTCGTCATAGAGACAGGACTCGTCGTTAGGGCCGCCAGCACACTCGTACTGGCCGGCGGCGTTGTAGCCGCAGACCCAAGGGTGGTTGGGGTCGATAGGAAGGGCCGTGGGAAGGGTGTCTCTGTTGGCAAGAAGGCCATGGTTCACGTTGTGTGCAAGGCGGATGGGAGTAGCAATCTTCTTCTGGCCAGCGGTGCAAGAAGTCGGGTCACCGTGCTCGTCGAACACGCAGGTCTCGTGGTCGGGATCGCCGGTGCACTCGTACTGGCCGGCCGCGTTGTAGCTGCAGGCCCAGTCAGAGTCGGGGTCGGGAGCGGTTTCTTCAGAGACGGGAGAACGCTTGGTGTTTTGGTTCCAGTTGGGGTTGTCTTCACCGCCCGGGGTGCAAATCTCGGTGGCATGGGCATTGATGCACATGTCGCCGGGATGGACGTCAGTATGGATCGAGGGGTTGTGGTCGTCGCGGCCGGCGAGGCCATGGTTCAGGTTGGTGGTCTTGAGACGTGTTAGTTGGCTTGAGTTGAAGGCGGGAGTTGGGAACTTACCTTCGAAGGGGTGAGACTGTGGTCAATGGCAACGATGCCGTCCTTGGGGATGGATACGGGACTGCCGAGGATGGCAGTGGGCGCCAACGCCAGGAGGACGGTGGCGATGCGTGAGGTGCGCATCTTGAGGAGGGTAGAAGCTGTGGACAGATGTTCGATGGTGATCTGGAACTGAGAGACAGCTTCGTGAGATGGATGTGGTAGGATGAAGGAGGAAAGAATCTCGTCGTTGGTGGGAGGAAAGGCGGTTTCTTATACTTGCCTGGAGGATGATCCACGCGTTCTTCGTGATAACCCTTCTGGCTGGAAATTTGGATGACAGCCATCTCGCCATTCGATTTCATGATCATGAGCGGCGGTCTAAAAGCAAACAACAGGATGTTAGGACGAACAACCTCGTTATAAGAGAGCTCGTGTGAGCAAATGCTGCCTGGTAAACAGCAGGGCGTTGAGATGAAACCCGTCATCGGTGAGTTCTCACGAGAGACAGGTGGCCTAGAAGTAAACAAACAAGAACCTTGATGGATGGCCAAGCATTGTGAGATGAACGAGGCTTTGAAGATTTCGCTCAATATGAAGAAACCGCTCACTTCTCGCTCACACCACTCCATCCGAGAGTATTGCGGTGTATTCTTGATGTATCTTTAACGCTAATAAGATACTCTTCGCTAGTAAGTATTGGATTCTCTCCATCACTGGTGAAGTTAGGACACTCGATCACGGCAACCGCTTATTCCTAGCATCATGCAGCAAGCAGCAGCGCTTCCAACTGACTTCAGTACTCAGTACGAGGAACGATGTTCATTACATGACAATGAACTAGATGAGCTCGCGAAACGAGAAGAGTGAGCAATCTCAAGCACGGAAATGAAAACAAACGAAGCTGTCAGATGACTGGTGTTGAGGCTAGAACCTTCAATCATCGGACACTTGACAGCAGTTTGCTCACACTCGAGCTCTTCTCCGCCTTGATACCCATTAACGACTGTGAACTTTCGCCTCTCAATCACGGATCCTCGTTATTTGCTTTCTCAGAAGTATTTCTCCTGGACCCTGACCTCATGTAAGCACTCGTCTAGGTTCCTCTAGGTTCTCTTCACGAGATTGAAAGTTCTCCGCGGAGTTCGATCGTAATTAAATCCGAATAATAAACATGCGCGAGCAGTGAAGTAGCAAGTGATGGTAAATATGCCTCAGGTAGGTGTTTTTCTTCTCATGTGCTCTGAATGGCCCATGGGAGGCAAAAGGCACACAGCCAGCAACTATTCTCCGGATGGTTGTCATTCATCTCATATGCCAGACCGGACCGAAGTGAGAGAAATGAGAGAGCACTTGCTTTCCTGATCATTTCAAGGTTCGCCCTCCAAGGCAACCGCGAGGAATCGAGATGAGATCTTCATTGCTACCGGTGACCATCAAGGTGCTTTGAGGGAAAAACGCATTTGAGTCCGGAGCCTTTCCCGGTCTTTGATCTCAATTCTCCCGTAGGCTAGGTGAGTCTCGAGTGAGACGGGCAATCTTTCATCAGCTTCATGTGACTAGGAACGCATTGCGTGATTACCACTTGGTGACATTTCGTCTCCCTCGGCATTCTTCCTACGCCTCTATGGTACAGGCTCGCACACACCCAAGACGGTAGTGAAAGTGGAAGATCCCCTGAGAAAATGTTCCTGGCAGCTGGCGCATGTGATACCGACGAGCAAGGAATCATCCTTTATGAGAGCAAAGTATGTCCTTCAGCCGCTCCCATCGCCAGAAAAGGATCTATCAACGTCATCAGGCGCACGATTCGCCCTGGATTCTCCTGAAACATGAAGATGATCGGACACTCAACGAATCTCAAATCAGATTGCAAGTCTTTTACTCCGCATACACAAACATGTGCTTTTGAAGAAGGACGAAGGCGAACTTGGGACCCAAAGTGAAACGGCTGACGTTGACCGACGAGGAGATCTCCGACGAGAGGTATAACAAGAGGACCTGACCATGATGGCGATGGTGTGTTGCACGAAGATGCGGTGGATATCAGGAACACCAACGGGATTTCACACAAAAAAAGGGACGATGAGGCAGGTGTGCGAGCGAACTTTCGGACGACGTGAGACCCTCCGTGCTGGCAGTTTGACACAGACGATGACAGATGACACCTGTTCTGCGCAACGTGGGTTGTGTTCGACAAGTCAAGTCGAAATATGTTGGGTCTTTCGATGTTGGTATCGTTTTCACTACCCGATTTCGACCGGAGTTGCTTCCGAGGATGTGAGTTTCCACATGAGTCAAACTGCTGCACTGGCACCCTGGCTTCAGCTCGGTACATAATACGCTCCTTCGCCTTCGAGGGAGGCCTTTGGGAAGAGGCCGCATCCCAAGCCGTGTAAAGTCTATATTTCGCCGTTAAAGGGATGACCTGAGGAATAAGGAAGGAGGAATGCTTCTTATCTAGCGGCAACCGCCACGGTCGATAGTTCTTCATGCCTGCTTTCTTTTTCCCCGCATACTGTCTATGTGGATAGGGTCTCAGCCCGCAATATTGGGCCGGACTGCGCCGCGTGGTTCTGGTGGGAGCTGCGGGCGATAAACTGTACGGTGGCAAAGAGGATCCGAATGGCGTCGGTGGGAGTGGTAGGATTAAGCTCATGGAGTAGCTTCCCGTCCAGACCGCCCCAGACTTTTCTGGTGTGGATGGTGGGTGCGGGCATCTTTTGGGGATGGTGGGACCGGGGACGGAGCCAAAGGGGGGCATCGGGCTGTTGGGGCCGTCTAGCCTATCGTATTTGTTGACCATGTGAAAGCTGACCGGCGAAGCATTGATTGTTCAAATTAAATTGTTGGAACTTGTTTTTTGATAGTTTCGCATCTGAGGATGAAGACAACGGATGATGCCTTGGTTGAGAAAGTCTAATCCCGGTTGCGAAACGTAAAGAGAGTAAGAAAGGAACAGTGATCTGACGGACACATGTGGAGATGTTAAGAAACTGCAGAGAACATACGCACACACGTAACAGAAGGGGAAGCGGGCCTTGGAGAACGGGTGACAGCAAAGTTTAATCCGCAGGGAATGGCATACAATCCCACTTTGGGACACATGGGCCGAAATGGCGTTTTTGCCGCGAGAATGGACCGCCCTCGTCCACATCCCTGGGTTTGCTGTTGATGCCGTTGGCACAGTATCGTGCGTATGAGACACCAACATACTGACGCCAGAACGCTCCAGAAGATAAGAGGAAGTGAGGGAAAGAGGAGGAGAAGAACAAAAGAACCATGAGTGCCCAGAACATCGGAGCACCTGTGTGAGGGTCTGGCGCTGAGTTGTCGTCGAACTTGGCTCTGAACCTCGATCATCCACCCGTGATGATCATTGCAGATGAACTTATCCACAGTGCCTCAAGATAGACACCCAACAGACGGTATGATGTAAAGGAAGGTGGTATCGACTATCGATGAGGGATGAGGCTTGAAGGATGAGGCTCGAATTAAGCTTCATCCAAGGCCGTGGCGCCTGTCGAACTCATTTCATGTGTTGAAATATCGGGAATGCTGTGCCTGAATCGTGCGCCTGAAAACACGGGCCTTTTTCTGTGAACATCGTAATATTGCAATTCGCTATGCGGGCGTCATATCAACGCAAGATTAGGGCCTCTGCGCGCACTGCGCCGACCGTCGATGCAGCCACTTGTTGCACAGGCCGGCACATCGTTCACAGCACCAGCCCATCACGGCCGGTTGCGTGCTTTTTGTTGTGTGCTTTTGTCGGTCAACCATGGTGGTGTTGAGCAAGTCGAAGTGGAATGATGTTCAATGATCATCTGGAGATGCTCGGGTCGGTGTTGGCCTGATGGATGGACTTGTCAAGCACAGAAAGAACTGGCAGACCCAATTGCCCCTTTTTTTCCACTTGAGGGGAAAGCAAGCGACGGGGAAGGTTAAAGTAAGGTACCAACGGTGGGGCGCCCTAATTTAGCTTGGCCGGGGGTGCCCACCACAAGATACCCCTCCAAGCCAATCAGAGAGCCGACGTGTAACTGGAAAGGGCAATGGGGTTAAATGGGTCTAGAACCGCCGGCAATGACCCACTTATATCTGGCAGTCCATTGGCTGTGAATTCAACCGAACGGCTCAGCCAAGACTTTTAGCCAAGGGTCTTCGCGACTGCTTGCACAGCTGCTTGGCATGCGGACCCCTGTTCACATGCAGCGGACACGGTTCCTTGGAAGGTGCATCTTTGCAACTTTCCCCTGTTGGGCCCTAGCTCCCGCCAAGCCTCTGCTCCTGCCGCATTTTCAGGAGGCCAATTGGTGAATGGATTCACATGAACGACGCGGACGATGGCCCTGAGGAGAAGGAGCAAAGGAAAGAAAAAAGACAAGGGAAAGAGAAGACTGGCTGACTGCAATAGGGTGACTTTGGGGACAGTGCGCACCTTCTTAATTGCAATGCAAATGTGCTGGTTTGTGTGTGTGCCGGCTGGTACGTACCCCTGCCCCTTCTCATTTCCCTCCTTGCTTGTAACCAATTGGGAGTTCAGTGCCTGCCAATGCCTGCCAATGCCTGCGGGCTGGGTCAGTGACCTACCTGCCCGTTGCTGTCATTGCTGCTCCCCCACTGGCTCTTTTTGTTGAACTTCAAACTCTGGTCGGGTTGTTCCTCTGTTATCCTCCTTCTTCATTGATTCACTCAATTCCTAGAGAGATACTAGGTATCGTCATCCCCATCATTTCTCCCCTGGTGCTCAGTCGACGACAGACATTTGACGACGACGCCATTCCGTTCTCTTTTCCCTTCCCCCTCCCGGATTCACCGCAATTATCAACCTAACTTCATTCGGCTGGAGTGAACCTGGTCTCGTGCAACTTTCTCCTCAATCGGTCTTCCTTGCCTCCAGGATCAACCACAGATCTAAATACGGGAAATCCCAAGGTCGCGCCCTGTCCCTCCTTCCGCCCTTGTCTTCGTTTCTGTCTCTCCTCATCTCCCCATCGTCGTGTCCTACTCCCTACCTTCTTGCCTCTACGACGGCCACACGTGGGAATTCTTTGCTGGGGATCCTTCAATCTTTTCAGTCTCTCAATTGATTACACGCCAGTCGATCGATATTCGAGTCGAACCGGATCTCGAGATATTAGCCGTGTACATCTAATTCAGCTAATCGAAATCCCAATCGGCCACTCCATCCTGACTTTTTTGGTGAGTTTCTTTCGTTTCGTTCCTGTTCGTTCCTGTCTGTGCACACTCTGTTTGTCCGATGGAATTCATGGATCATGGCCGTTGCTGTCCGCACCCGTGCTCACCACGAATATCGTCACTCCTTCCCATCGAACCGCCTCTGTGTTGCCCTTCTGTGCTTGCTCTTCCGTCTCCGCTGAAGACGTGTAGCTGACTCCTTCCAGATCGCCGTATCGGGTAACGTTTCGCTTTCATATATCCCTATCACGCTCGCGGACAACACGATCAACGACACACACCAACATCGCCAACAACCCATCCAATCGACCAACCAACTTTTACTCTCGTCCAGCCAGTAGGCTTCAACCACCACCCCAGCCCTTCTTCTCGTCTACTTGACCCTTGCCACCACCCACTCTCTCTTTTCGAAATGGCGTCCCTCATCGACCATGAGCGGAACAAGGCTGGCCTGCACCTGGAGACCACCACGACCCGCCTCGAGCCAAAGACTTCACGAGATACCCTACTTTCCGACGGCCTCTCTCCCATGGTTGAAAAGAACATGACGCTATCACGCCCCTCCGACGTCTCTACCCCCAACAGCGCTCGTGCTAATCCCTTCGAGACCGACATCGAAGCCATGGTCACCAACGAACCCTGCATTAAGAAGACTACAACATCAAAGGAAGCCACAACAGATTGCCAGGTCTGGCCCGGCCAAGACCACTGGAAGCAAAAGGCGAAGGATGCCAAGATGAACCGTCATACTTGCAACTGCCTGGCACAAATGAGCAAACGCAACCGTATCATCGTCAAGGTCATGATCGGTCTGCTCGTCATTGGTGTTGCTGTTGGTGTGGGCTTTGGCGTCAGCAAGCCACTCGGTGCCGGGATCTGGAAGAGCGAGAGCCAGAATCAACGATAAACTGAGCCGTCCAAGAGACCCCTTCAGTTGATGATACTGTCCTTTGTCAGGCGACACGCTCTATGGTCGGGTGTAAAAACCTCGCCATGGGTTGGTGCCGCCTTCTCGTCGAGCAGCTTTTGTTGGGTCCGGATATTTTGCCCGATACGCGCATCATGAGGATACCGCAAGTACGGAGAGAGCGCTTCCATGGCGCTGTGTTTGATACCCTGTCCGGCCTGCAACAACCTGCCGACATTTTCCTTTGTCTCTTGTCTGCCGTTCCTTGGCATGCTGCATAACCGCCCTTGCTTTTTGGTCCTCCAAGCGGTTACGGCGTTAAAATGATTTTTATATCCTTCGTATTCAGTCGGTCATAGAACGCGACACATGCGGATGGCGTTGGAGGAGTTTTGTTTCTCTATGGCGATATGGATTTTGGCAACTATAACTCTTTTGATACAGATGGTTTGGGAAAGAAAGAGAGGGGATACGGGACATCATGATACATCTTCAGAGGAAGTGAGGGGGAAAGCTATTGCTACATGATACATGCAATGCAAGGGAGAAAAGGGGATGATGGGGAAGCTGGATGGAACCGGGGCTGATGACTTGGGCCACTGGACTGGACTGGACTTGGACGATGATGGGAACACAAAGGGGTTGCCAAAGCATTTCAAGACTTAATTCAGCATCTGATATGGTTATGGATGTGAACATAGGGAGCGAGTCAGAAGGGCTCATACAGCTTGTATCAGTTGCTTGTGTTAGTGGTTGTCGTTGTGGTTGCTGAAGTTAGTGTTGCGACTTGTGGATGATTAATGACAATGGGTGCCCTTGCTGATGTGCTTGGGTGCTTTACTTCCCTGTTATACTTTTTCGTTTCGTCTTCGTCGTCGTTATGTCATTTTCGGCTTGGAAGGGCTAGCAAAAGTTATGACTTGTATTGTTCGTAAACTACTGCGTACTTTTCGACAGCGCAGGGGGATATTATTGTTGTGAGATGGAGATAGAGGGTACATGGAAGACAAAAGGCTTTAGAAGTTGTTCTTTGGACAATGGAAATGCTATGTCTCCCGCGATTAGCGTAAAGAGACAATCTAACCTTAGCATCTCAAGCCAGCGGACTACTCTCCTCCACCTTTCTGAGTGATTATTGTTTTCTCTTTTGCCATCTGTCTTCTTGTCCGCCTACGAACGCATGCGATGAAACTAAAAGTTCGAATCCAGGAACATCTTGTCATGTACCTAGACCCATCCGACATGTTTAGAGACCTGGCGTCAGTACCGTCTTCACTGATCGTCTCGGCATCCACAACACAACATCAAGGCTCATCTGGGAGAGCAACATGTTTGGCCCTTCTTCTTCTTCAATTCGCTTGCTCATTCCTCCACTTCCAGCATTGGGATTGACCTCAGCGGACGTCACAACATCCAGCCCAAGAAAATTTAGACAAAAGCGAAGGAACACAGGCTGGGAAGGCGCTTCCTGTTTCCCCCAAACCCTGTGTTGAGAAGGATTCCTCTCTCAAGCGGAAGTCACGACACTCGATTGAGGACGGAAGGGGAAAGAGACTGGCCGGGACACACAACCGGAAGCCACGAAGACGCGAGGATGGACGCAACCGGTCATGTATTTATTGAGGGCTTCCCCTCCACCTTGACCGCTTGGCCCATCCATCATCTTCCACATAATCAGCAATCAAATTTTACCATCTTCTGTTGCTTAACCAAACACTTTGGCATCACTTACGTCTTCTGCTTTCTTCTTCAACCAACTCCATACCACCCATCCAATCCGATCCATTTCTCCATCTTAAGGTGAGTACACATGTTCCACCTCAATTCACACCCTCATGTTGAAAAGAGATCCCGACCTCTTGTCTGTCCAGTGTCCAGCATCCATCTCCTCCGTAACCCCGAATCAACATGACTGCTCCTACCCCCAATTCCGACCTTGGACGCGTTGATGACCATGATGAGAGCGATACCCAAGACTCACAATCGACACATTACATCACAACCAAAATGTCTGGGCTATCCGTGTCTGAGTCCACGTCCGCATCCAAGCAAGCCGAGTTGGCGTCCGCTTCCGCTTCCGCTTCCGCGTCCACATCCACATCCAAGCAAGCCGCAAACTCTCAGAGCCTCATGCTGAAGCCGACAACGCAACATGCAGGGAAAGCAAGCACATCGGAAACGACATCGGGACAAGAACGCACCGTACCACCTGTCATCAGCGCCATTGAGAAGGAGATTGTCGCCGCCTTTTTTTGAGAGACTTGGTACGTAAGAGAGGCTTAGCCCCACGTACATGCTCTTTCTCGAGGGTGGGCCTGAACCTGAACATGGAGTCGAGGCCTTGATGAAGGACGCCCAGAAGTCAGACGAGTACAAGAAAATCTGGAACAATGTATTCCGCAAGGGCAAAAACGTAAACAGCAAAACCCTGATCGAGCACGACATTTCAGCCAAGGCGTGTGGAAGCTGCTTTATGAGCTGGTGATGGTATTTCCGGTGCCGCCTGCCAAGTTGCTTGGAGCGGCGGATGAGGAAACCAGGCAAAATCTGGAGCAGTGGAAGGAGGCACATGATAAGGAAGCCGAGGAATGGCGCAAAGAGGCGAAGGAGCTGGAGGTAGAGTGGCAGAGGGGAGTGGACGCAGGCGGCCCACCAATGTTTCAGATTATTGGGCTGCCGCTGCGTGACGAAGGGGATGACAGCGAGGAAGGAGCTTAATTATGCAAAGGGGAAAATCCTGAGAAGCGAACGGTGAAATGGTCTGGGGGAGAGGGGTAACAATTGGGCGTAGGAGTGGAACGGGAAGTTGATTCATATATGCGTTTGGAAGGGAGTTATACCTGAACGGCGGTGTATCCCAAGGTTGTCGAGTAGGTCAGGTTCTGGGCTGAAAACTCCGAACAAGAGGTCCATAGGCTACCAGCCAGATATACGTAGAGCGTATGCCTTCGTTCTTTATCAGCGTTGGGTAGTAAGAAACCATCATGTCTTTCATCATTGAAGTACAAGCATGGTTCCGAAGACAGTGAAGATGGACACGGCTCACAAAACACTGCATAGAGCTACAGGTAAGCATCAAGACAGTGTCATAGGTATGTCGATACTTGAACAACATCAGTGAAGGGAAGATTTCCTGAATGACTCATGTGGATTAGCGGAACGTGGGTATAGTAGATCTAGGTTGAGCAGGGTAAGTACTTGTAGACAGATGACACTAACTGGATAGGAGGTATGCTCTACCATGTGCAAGCACCGGTCACTATTCACAGCTCACAAGTTGCCACTAATACAACAAAGTCACTGCACTCCAACCTGACGAAGTCTATTTCCACGAACAGCGTAACATTATAGTATATACTGTATCTATCAAGTTGTGTGTCAAGTAGATAATATGTAATATCTACACGAACCTAACCTCCTCAAACACGCCCGCGCGAACTTGCACCAAGCTCGCCAGCTCAAAGAGGAAGGATTGCAGGATGATGACGTTTGTGAGGACGTGCGAGACTGAGGCTTTGCGGGCTTCTTCTTCTTCTTCTTCCGCTGCTTTTCGGGCTTCTTCTGCCTTTCTGGCCTCTTCTTCGGCGGCTTCTGCGGCTTGTTGCTCTTGGGCTTGGGTTTGGGATCCGGTTTGGGCTTGGGTTTGGGCTTGCTCGTCGGTAGCGATTTGTTGGTCGGGCTGGTCGGGGTTTGCTTGCTCTGCTGATCCATCATTTTGAGCAGCTTCGGTGGTCGCTGAAGCCTCACCGGTGGGAGCCTCGCTTACATCACTGGCCGTGATGGTAGCAGCGAGAGTGGCACTAGAAGTGACGACGGAAGAAGGAGAAGGTAAATCATCCCTAGAAGAATCCTTAGAAGAATCCTTGGGCGGAACAGCCGGCTTAGCCTCCTCATCATCTTCATCACCTTCCAGCGCATCCAATCCTCCATCTTCCCCTTTAGGAGGAGGTAAATGGACAGTCATTCTTGGCAGTCCTACCCCCTCTCCTTCCCCAGCCTGCCTCTCGGCAAGCTCAACCTCGTCATCTCCAATCTTGCTATCAATCTGCCCATCAAGTCCTCCAACTCTAACGTGCTTCGTGGCAGAAACATCCGGAATACCCACCCTTCTCGCCAAAATACTTTGATCAACTGCCTGAAAAGCTCGTGCCTGCGACATGACTAGCTCCATCTTTCCGGTGCCGCTGATGTCACTGGCTACTGCTCCCGGCACAGAAGCGCCTCCGAGACCACTGCCGCTTGCACCTAGTCCGAAGCCGCCCATTCCTGGGGAGGTGACGAGCATGCTTGGTGTTCTGTTTCTTGATGGCAAGGGAGGAGGGGCCTCGTTGCTGGTGAAGTACGACGTCCGCTCGGAGACGGTGCGAGTTGTGTTACTCCGTGGGCGTGGCGAGTTGTTTGCTGTGCGATTGGGCGAGACGGAGACGGTGGATGAGAGGTCGGAGAAGATACGCTGGGCGAAGGACTCGAGACCGAGGCCGGAGGTTGGGCGTTCGGCCGGCGCGGCATTACCGCCTGGGGCGGATAGACCGGGTGTGAGTTGGGCGGGTGGTTGCAGTGTTGAAGGCGTGCGTGAGCGCGAAGGGGCTGCGCTGGGGACGACGGACGGAGCGACGGAGGGCGGCATTGAGGCTCCGTCAGCTGTTTGGAAGGCTTCGCGACGTTGTTGGAGGAGGTCGTTGAAGCGGGGGATTGTGTCACGGTAGGCGGCGACTTCGTCACAGAGGGTTTGCAAGATGCGGAGCAGACGAGGCAGGGAGTCGCGAGACCATTGCGGCCGGCGTCGGCAGTGGTGCATGGAGAGGAGTTGTTGGTATTCGGCATATTCGGGGGACTCGGGGTCAATGTCTGCTGGTGGTTCGGCCGCAGGTGCGTCGTGGTCCTCCTGCTCGTCGTAGGTGTAATTGGTCGGATGCCTCAGGAACCAGCCTTCTAGATGCATGTAGCCGCAGATGGCCAGGTCAAAGATCACTTCGGTTAGCGACAGGTTGGTTTCGACGGGGTTGATGAAGAATGTCTCGAGCCGGTCCAAGACAATGGTGAGCAGGGGGTCGTCGGGGTGCAACGTGTGCGAGCGGACGTCTCTGGGCGCACCGGGCAAGCTGTCGGGGATGGCGGGTTGCTTGTGGTTGCTAGCCAAAGCTTTGGGCGTGATCAACTTCATAGAACAAGGGTGGTTCTCTACGCGGATCATGGTGTCTTTGATGACGCTGTCGTAGATCTCGTTGAAGTTGTCCTCGCCACCGATGGTCTGGGCTAGACCCATGAGGTACTCGACTTCCTGCTCATGAGCACCCGTGGTCCTAAAAGACGAGTTGCCCAGTACGCCCTCGGTGTAGAGTAGGGTGATGACTGCGTAGCGGTGATGTCTCTTAAGAATCACCGACACCAGCTGTAGTGTGACGTATATGGTTTGGTGGCTTTGCGATCTGAGACAGGCGAGGATCAAGTCGACCAGGTTGAAGAGCAAGGGGTCTGCTGCGGCTTCGGACTTGGATGCCATCATGGTAGCAAGATCCAAAGACTTGCGCTTTCGAGCGGCACTTATGCCGTCCTTAGAGTTGGACGAGACGGATCCTACAATGTCGGGCAGACCTAGGAGATAGTGCAGGATCAGGTTGATCATGTCGGGGTGTTCAACGGATTGAAGGATATGGCGGAGATAAGTCAAGACAGCCACCGAGGAACCGCCGTCAATATCTGACGATTCGAGAAGTGATGGGTATCTGCAGAGTTAGTGTGGAACGGTGGTACGGTATCAAGAGACAAACTTACAATAGTTGCTGCAAAAAGATGACCTGGAAATGCTCCAACAAGGAAGACTTGACCTCTACCGACCGACAGTGGTTCAAGACGTCTTGCCAGAACAAGAGATGGGAAAGAAAGGTGTCTAGATGCGATTGGAACTCGAAGGTACAAGAGCTGATTACTTCATAACTGGGTTTGGGATGTTCGTAGTCGGAGAGGGCGAGAATGGCGGGGAGCGCATTGGACGGATGGTCGATGACGAGCTTGCGGCTCAGTTGACTATACAGAGCACCCAAACCGGTAGCCATCAAGGTCGAAAGATCACTTTCGACAATCCATTGCTCCAGCTCGACCGAGCTAGATGCGGCCTCGATGATGTACAACAGACCGGTCCTGGCAAAGTCGCCCACTTTGCCTTCATGGTGGATGTAGTCCATGAGCAGGTAGAAGAGAGGGAAGTCCTGCTTCTGTGTCCTCCCCGTGAACCGCTCATGTTCGCCCAGGGGCTGTCTCTCCTCTCCATTCTGCGACTGGGACTTGAACCAGGCGGGTAGGATCTCGGGGTCGAGACGGATCTTGGTGGTAATGTTGAAGGCCAACTCGACAACGCGGGCTTCGGTATCGGCGCTCAGACGGATGGCATTGGCGCCGGTTATGCGCACCATGAGGTGGGTAAGGCTGGCGGAGAAGTGGTCATTTTCGACAAAGGCCTCCTCCTCGCTCTCGATCAGGGTAGCAAAGAAGAGGACGGCCTCCTTGATAACCCACTCGTTGAAGGAGCTGGTGGAGATCTTGGCTATGGGGATGTATATCTGCTTGGTGGCGCAGAAGGTGATGCATGGATGGGGGAGCGGGCGTCGGTTCTCGTCAGTGAGGATGTTGGTGAGCTCCTGGAGACAGATCTCTATGCGCTCGGCAGCCTCGTCATCGTGGGAAATGTTGGGGGAGTTGCGCCATGCCTGGAGGAGCTGGGCGTATTCCCTTTCGAAGCGTTGGAGTCGACGGACAGGGTCCTTGGCGAAGTCCTTCCAGTTCCGCGAGTTGCCCGTCGAGGGGAGCGTGTGTGCTATGAGGCGCGACCAGAAGTCCATGGCGACTCTGGAAGCATTTCGGGGAAGTGTCTCTTCTTCTGTGTGTGTGCTACAGAAGCAACACTAGATCTGGGCCGTGGTTGGGTTGCCGGTCAGTCAGTGGGTGGTGGGAACTGGGGACGGGAACGGGAACGGAATCGGGTTCGGTGGTCTCGGTGTATCTTTGGTTGGTCGGTCGGCAGTGTCGGTGTACGGTATACGGCGGATAGACAATGAACCGCGTCGGTCGTGTCGGTCGGGTCCTCTTTGTCAAAGTCGTCCTGATGGACGATTGGGTTGCTTGCTGGCAATGCGTTGGGTTGCTGCTCAGTTGGCCATCAGGGTGGTCGGTGCACGGGCGTTAAAGGGGTCAATGTACCTTTCACCGCATTGGCAGCGGACCCTGAGATCGAGAGTCAACCCCACCATGGGGGAGGAAAGAGTGGGGTAAGAGCTTCTCCTCAGACAAGAGTGAAACTGCCGTGACAGCGCCGTGTCTCCCTGTTAGCATAATGCTATTAATAACTCGAAACGCGTTAACAGCTCAGTCACCAACGGTACTTGTACCTAGATTTCTCATCTTTGCTTCATCTTCTGCCATCAGACTTGCATTGGCCGTCGGGCATCATCACTCAACCGATCTTGCGAAACACTCTAATACTGAAAGAGAAGCAATGCTACCGTGGTTTCTGGAAGCATGTGAACATGGTGCCAGCACTTTGAGGGCATTCCAATTCCGCCGGCTCTGTTCCTGACAAGCCGATACCGATTAATTGTTAAGGGCCAATGGCTGCAATGCGACGCTGTATAAGGCAACCACAGCCAACCAATTCCGTCGAGTCATCCAGCACTAACGAGCCAAAAATTCTCTTCACTTTTCTCAAGGCGAGTGAGCTAGGTTCAACTCTTTGTTGTCTCTTCATGACTGGCCTCCTATCAACCCCCTACATCCCCCTACATTTCCCCTACTGCGTCCACCACTGCAGCCATCGAGTCAGGACAGGGCGGAAGGGAGCGGGGTGAAGGGTCGAGACTGAGAAAATGGAAAAAAGACATCATGAACCTTTTTGAGGTGTTCTCCCGCAATGGACCCCCGAAGCTTCGACCAGCCACTCCCACTGTCAACGAGTCAACGAGTGTGGACATGTCGACGACGTGGCCCGGCCAGCAGACAGCCAGACGGGACAGACACTTACCAAACAGACATTGACACTGACACTCACGATGCTCCATGCACCTCAGATAACGGCCCTTGAGTGCAGCATGCATCTCCCGAGAGCTTCCCTTTCTCCAGACCTTTGACAAGAGATGGACACGAATGGCTCGCATACCCAATGCTCCCACACCTTTCGTCCGTATTGGCCTGATATCAATACATATCTTGACGGACTGCGGCACCCCGCTCTCATCGAGCAATCCATGCAGATTCCGTTCTGTCGTGGGCGGCTATCAACCCTCACCAGCCCTCACCAACCCTAACTGACACCCAAGAAGCCTGACCCTCATCAACCACTCACAAACCGGCTTCACCAATCTGGGGCACACGAAACCGCCACCACTGCCGGCGATTGGAGGCTTAGTGTTTCCACGACAGCGAATAAGAAGCTGCAGCGGCCCCTCATGAAAACGGCAAGGCACTCCCGTCTTTACTGTGGGAATGCTCGCCTTGGATGGACCTGTGCCTCTCGAGTGAAGGACAGGCACCCGGCAAATCACAGCTCCCGTCGGGGACCCTCATGAGCTCCGAACAGCTTCACCATCTCTGAATACACTAGTGTCGTATCAGTTTTGGCCTTTTTCTAGCGTGATGGTTGATGGGTCACTCATCCACTTTTGACGGCCCGCCTCGGTTGACCATGTGTTGTCCTAACATCGCGGTGTCCAAAGTCTCCATACACTTTCTCTGACTAACTCTTGCTTCTGCTTCTTCCCTTCCCAAATCACCTCTCACATTCTTCACTTCAGCTGTCTGCACAAACAATCAAGCTTTCACTACTCCAGTCTATTGTATGCGGGTGCCTTAGCTGCAACCGCAAACTACCACTCTCTTCACCATGGGTTTCCTCTTCTTTGGTCGGTCAAAGAAACCCAAGAAAGACAACAACAGTAGAGACACACCGACACCAACACCTTCTCACCTTTCGAGTCGAGGTCATCGTGACCGGCAGGTTTCCGGCTCATCCTCAAAACACTACTATGCCGCCCTTCCGCCACCTCCGGCCTACTCACCGCATGACTGGCAACAGGGTCAGCAATTCGAACCCGCCGGCCTCCTCCCATCACCGCCAGGATGGAGTCCTTCTTCACCACAGCCCATCATCGTCAACCAACATCACTACTATCTCGGCACTCCCGGACCAGGTTCCCCGCCACCTCAACTCCTTCAGTCAATACCGCCGCTTCCGCCACCAAAGAACAGCACCGGGTCTCTCACCAAGATGCCCGTGGGGACGGTCATGGAGGTGGCGTCGGATATCTCCCAAGTGCCAAGCCTCGTCCACGGCTATGAGGAATCGCTTTCACACTGGCCAGACAACAAGACTCAACTGCTCAACCAGAGTGCCGCTCTCTACGATCAGATCTCCGGTCGACTGAATGACGTCTTGACGAGGATTGATCTGAACCAAATCAGTGGGAATGAGAAGGATCACTTCACATGGAAGCCCGCTGTTCAGGAAACCTCATATCCACCCTCATCGAGTATGGTTGGATCGAGGTCGGTGGTGAAGTCGGGACTGAGGAGGAGCAGCTCGCATTCAAGAGAGCACAGGGATAGGGAACATCGGGAGCATTCGTCGTCAACAAATTCGGGTGGCTATTTTGCCAAGGTGGACCTCTATGCCAACTCGAGGTTACCTACCGACTTGCCTCCTTTGAGACTGTAGGTTATTGCCGGCACTTCTAAATGTGTTCTCTCACTCACACTCACAGATACATCCCCACCTGGCCTCTCCTCTGCCTCGCCGCCCAGTACTCGGAGCGAGTCTACGAAAAGCCCAAGGGTGCCGAACGAGACGCCCATGTCGACGCCGACTGGCGAACCGGCGCCAAGGCCATGGTCATCAAATCAGTTCCCATGGACTACGTCAACACAATCGTCTTTGCGATCCGGGGCACAGCAACTTTCATGGACTGGGCCGTCAACCTCAACTCCAATCCCACGTCACCCGAAGGATTTCTCGACGACCCCGGAAATCTATGCCATGCCGGCTTCCTCGACGTCGCTCGAAGCATGGTCCAGCCCGTCGCTCGTCGTCTTCGGCAACTCCTCGAGGAGGATCCCAGCCGATCATCCTACTCGCTGCTCATCACCGGTCATAGTGCTGGTGGTGCCGTCGCTGCCTTGCTCTACAGCCACATTCTCTCGACGACAAAGGAGGCGCAAAGCGAGTTGACGGCGGTAGCTGGATGCTTCAAGCGTGTCCACTGCGTCACATTCGGCACCCCGCCTATCAGTATTATCCCGTTGAAGAAGCCGGAGGACTACGAGAGGAGGCCGGAGCTGAAGAAGAGCTTGTTCCTGACATTCCTGAACGAGGGTGATCCGGTCGCGAGAGCGGACAAGGCCTACGTGAAAAGTTTGTTGGAGTTGTACGCCTCGCCGGCGCCTTCGGTCAACACCCTCTCCAGGACGACCAGCAGGAAAGGGCCAAGCAGCTCTTCGGATCTGAACACGCGGATGAAGGCGGCTGGCCAGAAATCTTCAAGGTCATCGCTACAATCGTCAAAATCCGGCAAGTCAACAGATACCAGGAATACGGAGCACCGAAGCAGTTCCGGATCCAGCCACCATACCTCTTCCAGCTCTGGTTCCAGCCGTCGATCCAGCAGCAGAACACGCACATCCACCTCCTCCGCCAGCTCCGCTTTGACAACAACTTCAACCACCGCCTCGTCTATTTCCTCCTCTCCCAGCAACCACACCACCTCCTCCTCATCATCTTCCTCCTCAGGACCAACTTGGAAGCTCCCCGCTTCTACGCTCTCCAGTGCCGGACGGCTCGTGGTTCTTAGGTCAGGCGACCCCAAGTCCAGACTCAAAGGGAAGGGCAAGACGGTTGAAGAGAGACTGAACGAGGGTGTGGTGGCGCATGTGGTTGGCTCGGAGGATATGCTCAAGGAGGTGGTGTGGGGAGATCCGTTGATGCATGTTATGAAGTTGTATAAGGGGCGGATTGAGACGTTGGCTGTTGGTGCTGTTACTGCTAGGGGGTATTGAATGGGATACGGTAGTCGTGGAGTGGTGGGAGAAATGACGGGAAGATGGAGGTGATGACATGACGACGAACTTACGACGACTTACGAATGAGCAAACCACGAAAACATTTCACGAGGAATCTATAAACGACAACAATAGCGAATAACGGACAACGGCAAAGGCGAAACAATTACATACACATGGCGAAGGCGGAGATATTATAGATGGACGGATAAACAGACGGATGATACCAGTCGGGGCACTTGACTCTCAACTCACCTCTCCTGACACAATATCCTTTTTTTTTGTTTTTCTGTCTTTTTCTGTTTCGGTTTTCTTACATTTTCAAGTACTTTATACTTATCACAAATTGCATATATAGCTAGCATATTACATTGGGCGGATATCTTATACCTTGACCTTGAGGGTCTTTTTACATAGTTTAGCAAGTAGCAAGCAGCAAGCAGGAACCAGCAAGCAGCAGAAAATACGGGAATGTGTAGGAAGGGAAGCATTGCTGGTGAGGCGGAGAGCGGATAATACAATTTGGATTTTTGTGTGTATAACTTGATCTCCCATCGTGCTTGATTCCTTTCCCCGTAGTTTCTTCTCCCATGAAAAGACCTCCCTGAGCTGGAAGACACGAACTGGAAAATCCCCCTCTTCTCTCCTTGACTTTTGGTGACTCATCATGACTCACCCACTCCCCTTTCCCATTACTTCATTGACATGACAGTCATTCCTCCTCTTATCACTTCCCAATTCAAGGCCAAACGTTCTCCCAGGAACATGACCAAAGAACATGAGAGAATCAAGAGAGTCAAGATGGATTAACTTCTCCCCGCATTCCCTTCATCCCCATCCAGTTATTTCTTGGAATCCATTTCTTCTTTTACATGTATCGCTCCCTAGATTGTGGGGTAACTATCCTCCAAACAATCACCGAAGAGCGAAGAGAATCGATGTAGACAACATGGAAGAACTTTCCTCCGCTCGCTCTTCATTCTTGTATCGCATTACTTTTCATATCACTTCCCAATCCACGGCCAAATCTCCATCCCAAACAGTCACAAAGAGAATTGAACCATTGAACATGAGATTCCTCCCTCTCAACATTCCTCTCCGCTCTTCTCACTTTCCCATCTCATCACTTTCCCAGAGGGGCTCCCCATCCTTGTGCTTTCCCCAACGTACTCCCACTAAGTCGACTTGCACCCATTCCACCCATATGCGCTCCACCCATTGGCATCCCAGGCACCCCAAGCCGCTCAACCCGCCCAGCACCACCCCCATTCCCACACGTTCCATTGCTTCCACCCCCATTCCCACCACCATTCCCATTATTTCCTAATCCATCACCCCTCCTCAACCTCTCCATCCGCTCCCACTCCCTCCGTCCCTTTTCTTCTTTCTGCTCCTCCTTCACCCTCTCCGCCTCCTCCATCTCTTCCTCCCTCCTCCTCCGCCATTCCTTTTCCGTAAGCGTAGGATTTCCCCACGTCAAGCATTGGCCGAGGATGTAAGAGCCGAGGAAGATGCCGAAGAGAAGGGAGATCAAAACCCAACCTGAGACGGGCACGTGCCGCAGGGTTGGAGTTGGGATGTATGGTTCGTATTCGTGGCCGGAGGCAGAGGAGGTTGTGGGGTGTTCTACTGGAAGGGGGGCCATAGCGTCTGAGTTGTTTGGGCTTGAGTTTGGGCTGTGAGCTTCGCGTGTATTTGTAGTTGAGCCCTCGGAGTTGAGACTCAGAGTTGAGGAGGTAGGCTGAGCGATAGAGGTGTTAGGCTGGGTAGGTAATTTGTTCGGCTCCGACTCAGAGTTCGAGATTGATATAGACTGGAGATGCCAAGATGAAACCCAGTATGGTACCTATCGAACTGGGAGTGCAGTTTGATATTAGTGTTCAGGATCTGACCAGAAACCGTGGAACGCGGATGCTGGCGGAACTGGCGAACATGAAATGAATATTCAGAGGAGATCTAAAGTTCGAACTTCAAGTGAGAGAACTATCGGGCCGCGGCGAGGTGGTTCAAGATATCGAACGCTTTGGAGCGTTGACAGCGCGAACGTGATTAGTCTGCTCATCGTTAGTCGATGACATTATGTCTGCTGTGGTCATGGTAAAACTGACGGTCGCTCTTTTCCTGTTCGTAGTTCAAATGTTTGGGACCGGAGAGCCTCAACTGAATAAGACTGAGCGTATTGATTGACTCAATTCGTAGACTGTCACTTCTCTCAGGTGATGAAAACCTGAAGATTGCGTAGCAGGTGAAAAAGCGAGAGATCGGACAAGAGGCGACGTGAAAAGTATCGGCGGTAACGTGCTTTTCTTCCACTTCAATCTCATGGACCAACCAACAATGGCGCGGGCAGCTGGATAATGTCCTTTGTTAGTTGACGTCGTCCTTCCCGCCCGTGGTAAAGGGGGTGGTATTGTCGGCGCTCTTTGGAGATCTTGGTTTGGTGTACGTACCTGTTAATGGTTTCTTTGTCTCCTCGCTCCCAACGGAGCGGTACGGCACGGGAGTGTCTTGTGAATCTTTTGGCGGCGGTTGAAGATTATCAGTAATCGCGCTTAAGTTGGTCAAGCGCTCTTCATCGTCTTTGCTTCGATCTTTTACACGAGTGACCAAGGCAAAGATGAGGAGGTGCATTCACAGATCAAAATCGCTCGCTGACGATGACGGAACGAATGGTGTTGTATAATGGTGCGGTGTGAAGGGCCGACATCCCACGCCAAGCCAAAACCGGTCATGGTGATTTGGTGGCGCGAACAGCCTCAGGTCAGCCGTTGGTAATTTCCGATGGCCAACATCACAGTGCATGGGCAGGAAAGGCAGAAACAAGGCAGCAAGGGCTTTTACTTCCGCTTTGAATCCCATAAGTGGATTGAGCTTGGTAAGATTCCAAGGAAAGAACGATGGAGTGTCATGAAAATTTTCATAAAGGCCAAGCTGTCGCGTAATCGAAGGTTTAGGAAGACGGAAGGAGCATTCCGAGGTTTAAGAGGAGGACGGCAAGCAATTGCACAACCTGGTATCATACTCAAACTTCGTCGCAACAAAAAAACATTCAAGCTAGAATAAGAAGTTGGGAAACACTCCCTGACGCGTGCCTTTGCCAGGCCATGATATATCGCCGAATGAAGATTCTCAACACAGCAATATTTCATACAGGCAGGCACACGGAGCCCGACAGTCTTTCGCAGGCGCGTACCAGTTTCTCCGTCTGACTCTTCAACACCGTCAAGGTAGCGACGGCATGCCCATCTGCATCACGCATCTCGATATCTCCGTGCTCGCTTCCGCTGTCGCTCCCCTTTGACGTCACGCTCTCCAGAATTGCGTCAATGTCTCCCAGTTCTCGAAGTTGTCGGTATCAGCATCATGAATGCCATTTCTAGCTGTGCAACCGGTCAACGAACAGCCCAAAGCCACGCGGGCAAAGGTGATAATGCTACTGAGCATCAATTCTTGATGCCACCGAGCCGCAAACGCGAATGGGTAGCACGGGAGTGGGATGTTCCGCACAAGATGATCCAGATCATGCAAGCCGGTGGTGGGCTGGACGCTGAATTGGTCAACGTCGCTGATGGGTTGAGTTGTCCTGTTGACTTCCCCGGCGTTGCTCACACGGGAAGAGGTAGGCGCCATGCTCTTTCTATGTAACATCCTCCTCCTCCACTCTTGGATCGAACTCCTCGACTGTGACAAAGGTCTCGTCTTTGACAGAAAGTGTCTGGCCCCTGGGTGGAAGTAATCGAGCATACGTGGTATGAGAGTAGCCTGGTTGTCATGGCCGTTGTACTCGTCATAGTCGTCATAGACGTCAGAGTCCTTCGTAGGCGCGCATCATTTCTCCCAAATCTCGAAGTTGTCGGTATCGGCACTCCAAGCCTCACCTCCTCAAACTCCTATGCACCTCTTTCCGTGTCCAACAGCTTGGCCTTCTTGCTCTTCTTCCTCTCCAATCTCGCCAGCTCTTGCTCGACGTTCGGCTTGGTTAGGCTGTCTAACCTTTTCGGAGTCTTCTTCAAGGCGGGACATCTGTTTGATGAGTTTCGCCTTGCGTCTCTCTCGCTTCTGAGCTTTGACCTTGTTGACTTCGGACTGCACTATGGTGGGCAGTTGTGGTGGCACCAGCTTGGCCATCGGTAGACCTGCTCTGGAAGGATAACTTGATTCTTTTTCCGTCCATGATCTCAGATATCTTACCCCTTGGCTCGTCGGCGAGGTTGAGCTGCGTACAATTCTGGGAGGATAGTTGAGGCGATTTTGGTGCAGCTCATAGAGATATGCGCGCTGGTGGGGGTGTACTCGGGCCGAAGGGAACTCAAAGGTGAGGTAGCCCTATCCGTAGTTCTGCACCGCTGTGGTGGTATTGATAATGCGCTTCTTTTTCTCCGGGTTGAGTTGAGCTCTGTGGAATTCTTCCTCTTTGGACGGCGAGAAGCGGTTTCTGTCGCGGGGATTGACATGGAAGCGAAGGTAGAACCAGCAGGAGGGATTGGTAAGGAAACGAAGGAGCCAACCTTATGCTCGACAGGAGGTGAGTCTTGAGCGGGGGAAGGAATGATGCTCTGGAAAGGAACGTCCACCGGCTGGCTCCTCGCGGGTGTAACAATTGGTGCCTGACTGTGACGAGGTGTGCAAGGGTAAATCGGGAAGATGCGAGCCGCCAAACTTCTGCATTGTAGTACTCCCTGATGTTAACCAGAGTGATAATGTGGATCTTTCGAGGGGTTTCTAATTTCTCATTGTTATATAAATCGCCCGAAAATATGCAAAAGAACATCCACGATGGTATCCATCCACCAGGTCGTTGTTTACAACATCGCAGCCCTAGCCTGCTCGCTGTTCTCAACCCGCCGAGTGCCGGTTCATTCTTCTGGTCGTTGTCTCGAGTAACCGTTATATCCCAAAAAGAGCCATCCTCGCTAACCCAGCCGGGGAACAACAACAGTGCGCCATATCGGCGACTACTGCTGCATCTGCGTTCAGCTTCGGAATGAATTTCAGGAGGTTCTGGTACTGGGCCAGCGAGAGAGAGAAAGAGATGTCCTGATGGGTGTAACGGTTGGGTCTTGACATATTAGCCTATGGAGCACGTCTCTGCTCATCCTTCCGGAAAACGTAAAAAAATTCAGGTCACTGAGAATGACAATTTTCAGTTGTCTGCTTCGTGTTGTTGGAAGTGCGGAATGGATTGTTAGATACCCAGGCTTGCTCGCGATTAGTACCGGCGGTGTGGTACATTTCCAAGGTACCCAGAAGATCGAATCCGGCGGCTCGAAAGTTTGAGGCTGTGGCGAGCCCGTCTTGATGTCGCACCTGTAAAGCTCCAAGTTGAGGGTTTGATAGAGTTGGCGACACACGCGGGTTAGCGAGCATAGGTCGTTCAAGCCGTCAAGGTGAGGTGTCCGGGGCCGAAAGGGCGTCAGATTCGAGGCCGCGTTTGCTGGCTTCACTGTCGCTATCGGAGTATTTGTGGGTGTTCTCTTCGGAACGGACATCTGCGAAAAATGTGGATACACGCTGGTCCACCATGACTTGGTGAATTGTCCTGTCTTCTGCTGGGAGTCTGTGAGGTGATTAAGAGCGTCCTCAGTCTGTGTTTCTTCCCTGGTCACCGAGTGATATTGATGTCATCGTCATCACTCGATGACTGCACCATGTCGTTGTCCGAACCGCCTTCTTCGGACAGTCTTGGTGGTAGGGCTTCCTTAAGAGCAGCACCACTAGCTTCTGGGGTTCCCACGGAAGGGTTCGGAGAGCGATACCGTCTCATCAACGATCTCAGGTGCTTCAGCCTCTACTGACGAACTCAACCTAACATCTTCAGCCGGAGATGATTGTTCACACAAAGCTGGTTGACGCTCTTCTCGACCTCTTTGGCGATGGACACCCGGGAGTATTGACGGCACAACGTAGGTTAACCACGGTTCATCGTCGGTCTTGTCTAGTGTTTGACTTGGCACAACTAGGTAAGCGTATATATATGAGTGATGGGCTCGCAACCAGCTTCTTGTCGCGCTTCCATTTCTCCACAGCCGGTATGACTTGGTTCTGAGTATTGAGCCGCAAAGCAGTATCTCGGCTTGCCTCCATAACTGTGTATATTGGGGCCGCAGGTGGTTGTACTGGAATCCCTTGAAGGCAGGACCACCGCGTTTGCCGCAAAAGAAAGCCAGGTTATTTGACAAGTTAACGCTGTGGCAGGCTTGGCTCATCGAGATGAAACAACACTTTCCCCTTGCACAGCATACTTGCAGGTGTGACAATAGAGTTTCCATCAGTCATTTCCTCCGTCCTTAGCTTGCTGTCAGGTGTCGCGACTCGGAGTGTAGTCGGGGTTCTCCCTAGGACACAAAAAATTGGTGGTGGTGTCAACCGTCAAGCGTCAACCCTTGACACGACGGGAAGGAGATCAAAGTATTGCGATCTGGCCTTTCTCCGCTTGCATGTCTGATGCGCAGAAGGACGGGAAATCCCATGGATCTCTAAACCGGAAGAAGGAGGAGGTCTTGGGGTTTGTGGGCACAAGAAGTGTGTTGATTGTGTTAAACTAGGAAGACAAGAAAGGAAAAGAAAATGTGGAGGGCTAAATACATGGTGGTGCGGGCTGGTGGGCCCACATGACAATGTCAGTGAATGGAGGTGGGACAGACC